TTTTGTGTTTTTTGTGGGGGTTTTGTTTGTTTTGGGGGGGTTGTTTGTTGGTTTGTTTTTTATGTTGCAAACATAATTTTTGCACAGTTTTCATTAGTTAAAGTTGCATATCATGTCATGGTGACTGCACACCATTCATTTTATGTTATTTCTACACAACTAGTTAAAGGAGTATTAAGACAAACTGAAAATGGGTTTCCCAGACTTCCACTGGACACCCATATTGGCATTGGCAAAGCAGAAAAGATAGGATCATTCAGTAAACTCCTGTCATGTCAATAATGAATGATACATAAAGCTAAGTTCAACTATAAGAACTCAGGAACATACCAGGTCCGGGTGTTATATGGAAATCCAGACAATCCAGACCAGGAAGACAGTGTTCACACAGGAGGCGTACAAAAACTCGTGGTGAAGATGAGGAAGCCACTTCATTTGTGGGACATCAATAGCAGAGGATTTGCTCTTAGGCTCAGTCACTGCCTTAAGTCTCCTTTCCACCCACGCAGGTAGGAAGACTAAGAAAGACACCATCCCACATTGTGGGAGTGAGAGACTACTTACTTAGGGAACCACCCCTTGGCAAGATTTTTTTTTTTTTCCTCCTGCACTTCAATAATTTTTAAGCCTTTAAAAATCTGAGTTCTGAAGAAACAGCTCTTTTCTCCTTGATTTTGCATTAAGTTTTGAGAGGGGATGGACCAATCTGAGAGCAGAACCTTCATTAGCAAACTGAAGAAGATCAGGTTCCTGTACTGGAAAATATTAGACATCACAGGATTTTTTGGCATTTGAGAAGACTGAAGGCGTTGTTTTAATTTTGGTTTTGTTTCTCACTATCCAACCTTTTTTAATTGGCAATAAATTAATCTTCCATAAGTCTGTTTTGCCCATGATGGTAACTGCTGTTATTCCTTCTTTATCCTGACCCACAAGCTTCTCCATCTTATTTTTTCCCCCTGTCCTGTTGAAGGAGAAGGAGGACTGAGAGAGCTGCTGAGTGGGTGTCTAACAGCCAGCCAAGTTCAATCTATCAAAGCATGCCACAGAAAAAATAGCCTGCAGGAGAAGGAGTCCATGCTCCCCCTTGTGTGGGATGTCTCCTCTTGTTCAATGTAAAGATAAGATTATCACTAAACTTTCCCCCACAGTCATCACCACATGCTGAGGCTACTGCTATTTTTTTGCCAGCAGTGACCAGTATCCAATGCTCAGGCTTCTTCTTATATCTGTTATCTTAGGAGTTAGCTTCTTATGGGCATTCCTTGTTTCAGCATCTTTGGTTTCCCCTGCTTGACCTAGGTTATGCTGAAGTAATTAGAGAGCCCTCTAATTCCTGGACACTGCCTAATAATTCAGCTGATTTAGATTTGCATATTCACTACTTATCAGGCACCCAGAAGGAAAAGAGGAGCCAATTACTTCACTGAGTCTTTCTTTGACAGATGGAATGACTTCTCTTCCTTTACTGCCTACATAAAAATACTACTTTTGGACTATTTCTATTATAATTCTGTTTCGTTATAAATAATTTATGGATTTCCACATGGTTTGTGAGATAAGTAATTTTACAAGCAGAAAAAGGAACAGGCCAGGACACAAAGCAAACCTATATCAGGTCAGGAGGTTCAGATTCTAGTTCTGTTTAGCTCTCCCCTCCAAAAAACAATCACTGCTGAATTCTGTGAGGAAATAACTTACGGGTTCAGGACTTTTGTGTTTAGGTTTGGGTTTTCTCTGTGTTTAATCTTGATTTTTCACAGTTAAATTGATTTTTTTTCAGGTTGTGCCATAGTTTTTTGAAAGCTTCTGATTTTTTTTCTTGCTAAAGTTTCATTTATTTATATATTTGAAAGTAGAAAAAAAGCTTCTACTTTTCTAATTGATGTTCTTTCCCATCATCCCCTCCATCTTTATTATATTATTTTGTACTTTGTAGAAAAATGATCTAGCACCCATAGATGTCGGTACTTCTGATAACTTCAGTAGGCTTTGGGAGAAGTCCTAAAAGCTCACACCTTCCAGACAGAGCTAATATTCAGGCTGGAACAGCTCCCAAAGCAGGCATGTTTTAACAAGTACACCGGTGATTAAGCTGAATTGCGAAATCAAAAGTACCCAGAACTGGAAGGCCCCTGCAGGTTCCTAACTTTATTCAGCAAGGTAAACAAACACAGGCAGGTACATAATCCTCCTAGAGTTTCTTGAGATCCGATTTAAAAGGAAGGAATCCAGCCCTGATGAAATCAGTCATTGGTCGTCTTTGTCTTCGAGCACAAGGCAGCGTGATGTGCAGCTGCAGGGGTTCGAGATGGTATGGGGACTCCAGCAGGACGCATGGCCCCCTGATGTGATGTTTTGGGTGTCTGTGTCCAGGTGTTGGCAGCAGGGGTGGCCTCTGTGAGAAGAGGCCAGAGTGGCTGGCTAGGTGTCTGCCAGCCAGCCAAGGTCAATCCACCTCATGTGGTCAAACAGCAGTTAGTCCTTTTCTAAGAGGGTCTGGCCATTGTCCCCAGACCTCCAATCCACCTAGCCCAGGATGGCTAGGGCTGTGCACAGTTGCCTTCCTTTCTGCTGTTTTTCACATCACAGACCTCACAAGTATAACCCTGCCACGTCAAGGGCTACAACACATGGCTTGAGCTTCCCACCACAGGGATGTCCCAACTCACTGTAGAAACAGACCATATGCCCCTACAGGCCCTATTTGCCTGTATTTATGGTATCATTGTTATGAGAGAAGGTAGAAGGAAGAAGTGTTTCTCCCCAAAAAACACCTTCCCCTTCACCCTGGAATGTGTAATATCAAACACAGCAGACAGTTCAGTCTGGCCCTTTTTCTGAGGGCTTCAGTTTTTAGGAAAAAGCTAATCCAACACACCTCTCTTCCAACATTTGTTCCAGCTTGATCTCTTCTGAAAGAGGCTTCTCTTCACCATGGTACAGCGTATGTGAAACTCTGTTTCCTCTTCCTCCACTTGAATCCAGCCCAGGCAAACAAGGCGGGGTACAGGTACCCCAGTGCCATACTACAGTCAGGACACTGAGAGCTCTAGGAGAGTCCACAGGCTCAAGGGGAGGCTGAAAAAATTAATGGACTATAACTATACCCAGAGTTATTAAATACAAAGATGCCACCTCTGACACTGAGGAAGTCCCTGAGCTTAAATGGTGGAGACCGGTGGAACATCTGCAGGAAGTACAACTACATAGTACTCACACCATACTCATACCACTGTTAGAGATAGAATCCTAAGCTGGGTGGCCTCGTAAAGCTGTTCTTCAGTTCTTATGTATTGTCACTGTTGAACAAAATCTGTTCCAAATTTCATTGAGTCTAGATAAAAGTCATAAGAAAGCTGTCTTCTACAAACCAAGTCCCTTGTAATAGCCTTCCTCTCTTCTAGCTACCAGTTACATGACTATGATGTCGATTTTCACTGTCACATTCATGTAACTTGCTTTGAAGGTGGAATCAATAAAATAAGCCCTGTTGTCTCTCCTGGTGACTATTTTTTGCAAAGAAAATGTGCCTTTCTAACACAGCGTTTTTGTGTAGATCAAGTGTCAGCATTCTTTGAGGTTTTGAAAAACATTTGGGAAAAATATTACATCAGAGAAGTCACCTCTTGTAGTTACATGCCAGTTTTCTTTTTGTTTTCCAAGTCAGGATTGAATGACTCAGGAGGAATAGCTTCAGACAGCATTTAATACGCCTCTTTGAGTGCATAATAAAAATGTGAAATTCAGGAATGATGGGTAGAAACTATTGTTGGCCTAGTTAAATCATTGATGCTAATTGTCTTTCCTCTGTATCATTGTCCTATGACATGGATCAAGATTAGAAGTTAGAACTTCTCTCACGTGACAAATGTAATTTTGTCAAAATGATAATTTTTGTTCTTTAACTACTAATAGAACATGCATAGTCAAAACATTACAGAAGAGAGAATGAAAATGTTATTTTAACTATTTTTTTCCAATTTACCATCACTCTTTTACTATTTCTTAGATTTTCATAACATTTAGTAATTAACTCCATAGTCTGACTGCCCAGTGAGAAGACATAGTGTCTTTAATTAATTGCAAAAGAATCCAGAACACTGAAAGTTTTCAGGCTTCTGGAACCATTGAGGTTACAATAAACATGCTCAGACTTAAGCAGTACATTAGTACAGTGCTTCTAACAACTTCATATAATTTTTTTTCCCGTCTTTGTACAAACTTCATAGCTGTTCCAAAGATATCTGGGAAAGAAGAGATGCTAAGAAAATTAACTTATCTGTATAAAGACGCTGCCTGCATCTTAGGTTATGAGCTTGGAAAGTTTCATTCATTGCCATGACATCAAATAAAATTCTGTGGTCAGTTTGGACAAGAACCTATCTTGCTTAGTAAGTTCATCAGCTGTCCACCGCTAAAACAAACATATGAGTTATGTCACTCAACATAGTTCTCACAGGCATGAACTGACATTAGAGGGAAGATAAGCCTTAGTCCATCCATTCTTATTTGTTATACCACATCTGAAAAAAAGGATGTATTTTGAAAAGACTTTTCAATACTATTTAATGAATTATACTTCATTAGTTCTGTACTTTCCGGGTAGTTTTCTTAAGAGAAAAAAATGACAAGACGCAGTTCAATCTTCATAAGATGTATCATCAAGATGACATACACTGAAGAGCCTTTAGAGAGACCAGTAGTTTCAATATACAGGATCCTAACAAATGAGTTATTTATCCTTCCCATTTATCCCTGTTATAATACCCTTTCTTTGCCAATAATAGTTAATCTGAAAGCAGTTTGTACTGGTCTTTTCAATACCCAGGTAGAGCAATAACCTCTACAGCCTCACCTCAGACCTTTAACATAGACAACTGTCAACAAATTACAATAATTAGAAGAGAATTATTATTGTTGCCAAGCATAAGGATTCTTTTTATATGTAGTTTAATTACACCTTTCTGCTATGATATCTTTTTTAGGTTATAGATACTATGAAGTGAAAGTTATAAAAATCATAAATATCAGAACAGGAAAAGCCATAGCAGCATTAAATCAATCCATGGTTATTCTGTCTGAGGAACTGACAGAGCTGGACCTTTGGGATCATCAAATCTGCTGTTTGTTGTGAGCTGCATGATCATATGGATTCCATAGGCCAGGATCCACAGTAGAACTACAGATGTCACCAAACCCATCCAGATTCCAGGAGAGAAAAAGCCTGTACAGTCACTTGCATAGGAAAATTGGTTGTTTTCAATGTTGAAGCCTTGAAGCTGAGAATGAAGAAAGGTACATAAATGAGTGCAATTAAACATGGAATGTAGGCCAAACTTGCAAGATGTATGTAGCAATTACAAAAAATGCACCTGTTAATTACCACTCACACTCTGACTGTTAAAGAAGAGCGAGAACAAAAACTTCCGCATAACAATTTTACAGGTCCTCTTTTCACCCAGGAAATTAAAGATACAGAATGCATTTGTTTGGCAAGAGGTAGGTTTACCACTTCAGAAATCTGTATTACTTTTAGAAGTCAAGTCCCAAAGGGGATGCATGATCACTATTGCTCGATGACAACTTAAGAACCAGAAAACTCAAAGCGCTCAGAGAGATGAGAGTTAAACCCCTCCCGGATCATGAGATTTGTTGAAATACCCTGAGATTTTTATCTAATAACTCCTCGACAAGCCAAACTCCTGAAACCTACTTTAATATGCATCTAATGAAGATGACCTTTTTGGCTGAGTTTTAGTGAAAGTTCAAGGAGAAAACAGTAGTGAAACGTTTCTTCCCTACTCCTTAGATATCAGAGACTCAAAACAGGAGGGAGGGTTTGTTTTATTGAGTTTTGGGATCTGTGTTGTCTATTAACATATGAAACCCATACTAGCTTTTCCAGCAGTTAGAAAATATCTCTAATATCTCTCCTTTGACTGGGTTCTTGAGGTCTGACACTGACTGAGATCCTACCATATTATTTTTAAAATGGACTAATCTGGGGATCTGTTCTCTGCCTAGCCACCAATTTTCAAAAAAGCATCAACGTGACTGCCTTTGAGACAACTATCCTTCTAAAAATGTTGCTAAAAACAGTAAAAGGATTAGTTAAAATATGAAGAAAAGGAAGACAATTTCTCCGTTACACACATGCACATAGTGACATAAGCACTCCCTTCAGAAGGAAGGGAATCTAAGTGATGGAATAAAATTGAGGAAGGAAAGAATTAATCTGATCCGTGGTTTTGAGTTTTTCTCTAAATAATTTTATAAAGAAAAATGAAGACTAGGATTCTTAGGTGTTTACACATTAGTTGAAATGAGCATGTAAGGAAAGCACCAAACATCATAAATCTACTATTAAAGGAACACGACCTTAAAGCTGACTATTTTCTACAAAATATTATGAAAAATAATTAAAAAGGATTGTCTTAGTGAAAACGTTTCCCTCAGTATGCAATAAGTTAGGAAATAGATCATGGATTTCTAGTTTTCTATGTTCCCATTCCATGATTACTCTATGCTTTACAATAAACTAAACGGAAAGCTTTGTAGTAGTAAGAGAGTTTGTGCTTCCGAGGAAATGTGTTGGTAGAAACATTGGAGAAATTAGTCTGTGGCTTGCATACATTGCTACATCAGTAAGCATTCTGGCTTTGAGTTCATTCGTGGCTCAGACACCTAATGTTAATGTGTAAGTAATATGTGTGTTAAGGCCTATGTCTGTACCTTCCAGAATGCGGATTAATAAAACCGTTATCGTGTGCAGAGCTAAGGGCTTTTTAGGCACTGGAGAGGTGAAGACAATTTTAACAATTCAAGGTTTTTCTGGGCCTTTTAGAAGAAAACAGAAAGTCAGCTCATGGTAGCTAACTTGCAAATACTGCCTGCTTTCACTATAGGCAGTCACAGTTCTTATTAAAGCAGGATTAGCGAAAATAAGCTTTTGAGTTGGATAACTGTTTGCACAGTTTTAGAGAATATAGGTGATTACCAAAGCCTTTGCTTGTTAAGCCACTGATTTGACAACAGATATGAATGTGAACAGGAGTCATGAAAAGTAGTCCGAAAGACTTATTTACAACAAAACCAGAAAGCAGGTGATGATTTACGCCATTTATGTTCAAAAAATGGATTGAAATTCTAGAAAACAATACACATTTGTTCCCACATTTACAAGAACTCTCTGATGCACTTAACAGGTATGTGTGGTTTAGAAAGGCTTTACCACTTCTGACTTAGAGCCAGGAATACTGAGTTTTATTATGTCAATCCTATTGAATTTTTTTAAAAAAGTTTTTAAGGAGAATTATGCTTATTGAACCTTCAGGGTGAAAGCTTTAATTGTACTTTCTTAAAATTCTACTTTCTTAAAATTCTATGTCTACTTTTAGGCAGAAGATGAAGTATATGCAGGATTCTTTTATTGTTTGTCTGAAGCTTTATAATTTTTGTGGGGGTGTTAGATCCCAGGTGGGAGATAAAAATGTGACTCCTAGCAGCACTTCTACCTATAGAAAAGTTAAAAATACTTGCATGTGGTTCTCCAATTTTTATGAATGTACAAGCCTTTTGAATACAGGCCTCTGTACTGCGGAAGTTTTATTTTTAGTGTTTGAACCAGCATAATTTCTCTTGATTATACTAGTCTTTGTTTACTGTTAACTTCTAAAAAAATTTTTTTAATGGTGTTTTCTCATAATTTGACCTTTGACAAAGCCTTCAAGTACAATCTCTTGCTTTTGTGGCTCTTAAGTGTAGACTGAACATTTAAATTTTGAACTTGGAAATATTTTAGCCACAAAGAATCCTAATATTCTTGATTTCAAAGTTTTTAGCTTTTTTTTTTTTTTTTTTTTAGGAACAAAGGGACTTCTAATGCAGTATGACACATACTAAAGAAAAGCAGTGCTTTTGGTGTCAGCCTCCTCTTTAACTTCATAGGCAATTCTGGGATCCTCAAAAGGATAAAAGGTATCATGGTAGAACAACCATTCCTGTAACAACAAAACCAACAGAAAACCCTACCAAAAGCAGAGCAGTTTTTTGTACTGTGTACAGCTGTCAGTAGTGACATCCTAGGCTATGGGCATGCCTACAGAGCATCCTGCAGAGGTTCTTTAGGTGGTAGGCAGTGAGCTAGCTCCGGAACTAAAGTAAAAGGCTGCATCAGTTCAGCCTTGCCCTGGAACATGATATGCAAGGCTTTGCTGTGCAGGTGCTGTGTCCATCTAATACAATGATACTGATTTCAGGCCCAGACATTGCCAAGTGCAATTGTGCCAGTTAGATTGGCATTGGATCCTGGTTCGTAATTCATTGCATAACATTGGCATAAAAATTCATGTTCCTCAGTTTCAGCAGCAAGATTTTGTGCCGACTGCAGCCACTGAGCTCATGCCATATGCTTTTTTCATGGTGGAACAGAGTTTGGAGGCTTCTAAACCTCATTCTAGACCAAAGACTGATATTGAGATCAGATTTCACTGCGTATCAGTGGAAGATATCTGGAAAGGTATGATCTAGTTCAGATAGAAATGAGCCCAGCATGGTGACTTTCTGTTTTCTCACACAACAGAAAAGATCCAAACAGGACTTTTCAGGTTGTGTTCCATCCTTAGGTCTTGAGAAAAAGTCATTTCCCAGAAGGAGTTGGAAGTTCTGTTGTCTGGATGGTGGAAGCAGCTGCTGCACCATATCAGTATGGAAGGTGGGAAACCTTCCTACTTCTTCAAGAAGACGACTTCTATTCTTGATAAAGACCACAATGAAAGGATGCTTACTAAGGATGGAGCAAGGCCTCCGTCTAAGCTTTGAGAAGGCAGCAGTATCAATGTGTGTAGAAATTCAAGGAGAAGTTACGTTATAAGTGGACTCCTTTCCTAGTCCATGTGCTTTCACAGACTAGTGATGCCAAAGTTTAACTTCAAAGAGGTGATGAGGCAAAGTACAGTTGTGTAGACTTTGATATTTCAAGGCTTTTCCATAAAAAATACCATCAGGACAAACCTTGAGAACATTGTTGTCTATTGCTATGTTACTTCTCAAAAAAATGTGGGACCTGATCTTGGAATTTGTGGAAAATAAATCCTAGAACTGCTGTTGTTCCTTTGAGATTTTCATTGTTTAAGCAGAAATGTTAAAACTGGACTCAGACTATTGAGATTTGGTTTGTTATCAAAATTATAAATACAGTTACAACAGCATTAGTATCCCATTATTATGGGGTTAGCTCATCTTTGACAAATAGAATCCAGTATAGAATCCAGTTTGGAATTATTCCTATCATTTCCATGATCTCTTTAATCAAAAAAATCCTTTAGTGCATTATTGTTTTAAGATGTTGATGTGTTTCTCCTAAGTCAAGATCAATGCTCAAAATAATAAAGATGCAATCATCTACACCTCACACATGTAGTCTATACTACTGCACTAAATGCACAGAAAATCTATGTGTCGTTAAAAAAAAAAAAAAAAAGCCAACTGCTTTCCTTCTGGGCCATGTGGGACTTGGTATTGCTCCTGATTGAAGTGCTTGGCAAACGTTCCATTAAATCTAATTGCACTGGGCTTTGTTTCTGCCTGCAGGAGTTCAGTCTGTGTCACTGAAAACAGTAACCACACTAAGCTGTACTTTCCTAGGTAAACAAGGTGCAAAGAAATCAAATGAAAACAAAGTAAGCAGCACATAACCACCCACCTAAGAGGCCCATTGGCAGCCCAATTCATTAAACAGGCATGGGGAGTTAGTAATTCTTTGCCTGATTAAGCATATTTGGTTTTATTGGTTTTTCTTTTCTATGGACAACTTCATAGTTTTTTTTGTTTTTTCAAAGCTCTGCTTTCATGTTCTTATTGTTCAGCAACTGCCATCCTTTTTACCCCTTTATTGAATAGCTCACCTAGGGGGAACAGCTTTTCTTTTACATTTTCCCTCAGGCTGAAATGAAAGTGAGGGCATTATGAATGTGTTTTGTGCAGCACCTACAATAGCAAGTAATGGTTATTGGAATTATCTCTGAAATGGCAATGTGTACTCACTTGCAACCTGGAAATGAAAACATCCCAGTTCTTTGCCTCGTTGTTGGATGGAATCAACCTTGTAGGATAGAGATTGCTTGTTCCCACCAGCTGACAATGAAATGAATACTCTGCAGGAGCAGAGATGACAGAAACATTAAATCTAGCAAACTTTTCTCCATCTTGAACAATCTCAACTGAATCTAAAGTGGACCAATTTCTAGCCGAGCCTCCATAGAACTTGTTGGCCATTAAAAACCTAGAAAGACAACAGAGAAACAAAAAAAAAATGAAAATAACAGAAGGAAAAGCTTAATATTAATTTGATAAAGTACTGGTGGCAGACAAAGGTTCACTACTGCTAGCTGCAAACATCACAGTTGGTATCTTAGCTTGGCCTCCCATGTCATTAGGATTGTTCATAAGTGAAGAGACTTTGTGAATATGGTTTCACTCCTTCTTAGCTTTTCATCTCACATGCACAGTTTTCCATAGCTGTGGCAGGCAAGGAGCAAATGCGATTTCATTCTTCAAGGGCCTCTGCCAGTGCAATATTTCATCAGTTACCCACAGTTTGTAATCAGTGGAGCAGAACCTGAGAGACTGTCAGTAGGCCTGCAGTAGCTCTCAATGAACATTTTATGGGATTTTAAAAAAATTGCTTTTATGATAGATACAGGCATGATAAATATTCTGATTTATCATTGCAATTCTTCCTTGGCTCAGATGCCTAAAAGGCAATTTGCCTTTGTCTGAATTTGCAGCAAAAGACAGAGTTTTCTCTCACTGGAGGGTGAGGAGGAGTCATCAGCCCTAGTTTCCCAATTTGTAACAGGTTAGGTACAAATAAATACTTTCTCATTTTGAAAAGGTCTGTGTATGTGTGGTATTGCAGCAGTTTCTCAGAGTTTATAACCATGGGATTTGTGTATATGTTACTACCACTGCAGTCTGAACACGTCCCAGATGTTCTGAAACAGAAATAATTGGGAACATCCAGAAGTACACCATGATCCTTTACAGATCAGGACTATGTCCTAGTCTTTACCACTTTTTTACTTTTTTTTGCTTTTAGGTATTCAGGTTATCTCATAAGGAAATTATAAACTTTTATCCTTATTGTATGTTGCTTAGTACTTTAACCCTACTTAGTATATATATGCATTGTTCTATCAGAAATCAGTATCAGAAATATAGAAATATTCTATATTGTTTGCAATATTAGAATATAGAAATATTCTAATACATTTATTGTATATCTATTATCCACAATGGGTAACATTGTATGGGGATTTTAAAATTGGAGTAATACTTAAATGCAATTATGTCAAGTTTGAAAAATAAGCAGTCATCTATACATGTGACACAATATAGAATATTTAATGTTCTGTAGGGTATAAATATATATACAGAAAGAATATTTTTTATTGTAGAACATTGTTTGTTTGTTCAAATCAGTTGCTTTCAGTAACATTTCATTCACACAGCACAGAGTCTAAACTCAACACAAACATTGCTCCTTAGGAGTAACACACAAAATTTGACAAGTTAGGTTACTACAGTAAGTGAGTATATATTTATTTATTGATTGATTGATTGATTGATAAGCTGTGGCTTTTGATTCATATAGTTTATAAATGTCAAGCATTTCAGAATGCTCAGAAGGAATCCTACAACTCAAAGTGTCATTCAGGTGAGAAAAGGATGTTTTGTCTTATGGCATTCCTTATGTTCTGAGCCCAAACAGCTCTTCCTATACAACATTCAGCTACAAGCATCAGTGAAAAAGAAAAAGAAAAAAAAAAAAACAAACCCCAAAACATTTGAATTTCATCTAGCACACATTCACAAATATTTGTGGAAAATTTTCTATTATAATGATAAAGTTACAAAATTAAAACATGTATTAGCCTAGATATTATGTGCTAGAAGAAAAGAATCTTTTCCTGATATTCAGCACAATCTGAACAGAATTTCAGTAGCAATGCTATAGACACTAGCCAAGGGCCAGTGATAAGCACAAAGGAGTTTACTTAATTGTTGATGCCAACCACAGATGCTGGGTGCATTCTGTACTTTTGCTGAGAAGATGAGAAAAGTGGTAAACAAGGTAATTCTTTGGAGACTTACCATATGAACAAACAAGTTTTATAAGGCTATGTATATAAGTACAGTCTAAAGTGACTTCCAAGAGAACTCTGCCTCTTCATATTGCACCAAAGACTAAAATTTTATGTTACTTGCAGATTTATGAGAATTGAGATTCTAATTAGGGAATTAGTTGGGCATGGTTAACTTAACGATACCAGCTTTTATCCTTAGTATTTTTCCAAACAATTGACAGTCAATAGCGTCCAACAAATACACACTTAACTGATAAGTGATACAACTATAATTAATTAAATTACAAAATAGACATTCAAGCAGCAACAATCAATATAATTGTTTTAGATTTAGATAAGTATTTTCTCAGATGAGGAAACAGTAAATAGAATGAGCACAGTATAGCACATGAATAACAAGGTCAGGAGAGGTGACAAAGATTTTACCTGCAGAACTGAAAGTATCTTGGCTTTATGGGGAATGCTCCATATTAAACATCAGAGCCAATACAGGAAGTAAACTTTCACACAGACATTATGTACTTTATGTATTGTGGCACAAACAATTCCTGGTCATAGGACAGACACCCTTTGTACCACATAACTCTATGAACATTAAATGCCACTACCTATTACCAATTGCTGTCTCATGTGGCTATTCATTATGAAGAGAGAGATTTCTGAAAAGGAAGCTAGCTGGAATTATCCTGTTTCAAAGTTTCGAAGAGAAACACAACTGTTAGGTAAAAGACTTTAAAACATGGTTCTTGGGTCAACTCTATTCTATATATGCAATAAACAGCAACAACAGTCAAGTACTTGCTGATTTAAGTGTGGAAAATACTAATGCTTTGCACTTCCATTCACTTTTATACTTTTTCCCAGAGAAGACAGGCAGAGCTGAGATGATGCTTCTTCCAGCAAAAGCTACTGCCCACTGCTCCCACTGCAGCAGTAGTTCACTTTTGTAAAACTAATACAACTAGGGACACCCGACAACCATTCCCTAAGAGCTCACCCCTCAGGGACAAGCGCAGGATGAGGGATGGGACTGCTGCTCTTGCTAGAGGGAAAGAAGAGAAAGATGCTTGCATAGGATGAAGCAGCTATTGCAGCTGCTAGTAGGAGGTGAGGTACGACTAGCTGTTCAGGATGACGTGGTAGACTAGTGGTGGTAAGGACGGGCTCTGGATCCAGCTCATGCTGCTGAGGTTAGAGCCTCTTTTATTGAGGAATAAATTGAGCTATTTGAACATGTTCCTCTCTGGTGCCACTTCCTCTCTTCAAGGGATGCTCTCCTACACCTAAGTAAATGGCCTTTACAGGTTAAAAATATGTGGTCATGGGTCTAAGCTCTGCTCCTTCTCACCTCTTTGCCCTGTTTGTGTTCTCTTTATTACAGCAGACTATAATCTCACCAAGGAGTCGTTTTGAACAGGAAATGTAATCAAAGTACACCAGAAAGGGAAAACAGAGGTTGTAATATATCTCTGAGGGTTTTAGAAGCTCTTTAGAATAGACATGCTGAGATAAGTAAGGTAAATAAAGTGTTTCTGAATCATGAAAAGATCAATGGACTGTTCTGGTTCCATTGAGTATATCTTATTATTTGCATTATATGCCATATAGCACTGTATTACGGTAGCTAACAGAGGTCTGAAATGACATGATTGTTTCTTAAATCAAGACATAATCCAACATAAACCAGCACAAATACCAAGAGTGTCTTCAGCAGAAAATTCAGTTCATAAAGTCTTCTGAGGCATTGCAGGCTGACGCCAGCCAGCAGCCACGCACCCACATAGCCACTTGCTTGCTGCCTGTCCCCAATAGGACAAGGGGGAGAATAGGAAGAGCAAAAATGAAGAAACTTGTGGGTCGAGATAAAAACACCTTAATAAGTGAAGGAATAAGGAAAAAAAGTGATGCAGAAGAAATCACTCTCTATGTTCCACAAGCAGAGCAATGTGCAGCGAATGCCAGGCAATGACTATCCTGGAAGCCACCCCCCCACCTTTTTCCTCCACTTCATTTTTTATTGCTAAGCACCTGTGTCACACAAAAAATAATCAATTTAGGCATTTGTGTCTAAATGCCCTGAGTGGCTACTAAAAAACTGGATCACACCTAGCCGAATAAAATAAATCAAATTTTCCTGCAAAGCACAGGCAGCTTAAGCTACTTTAATTACTCGCTGGGCATAACAGAGGGCAGGATATCACCTACTTTCTTTTCAAGTCCTTACCTGTTGTGGAGCCTGAGTTTCCTATTCCAGTTTCAAGGGCTGTTTATGCATTTTGGTATTTAGTTATAATGTATTCAAGTAGAAGCACAGGTCAAGATAAACTTTGTGAGTATTTCTGCGTCTACTACAACAGGCTCAAAGGATGTAAAAAATATTCCGGAATAAGAGAGAAAACATGAACCATTCACCTTTTGTACTGATGTTCTCCTCTAATTCACAGTCAGTCTGCCTGCAGAGTTGCCTCAAATTTCTTCTCTTCAAATGCACCTCAGATTCATGACCACATGAAAGTTTTCCCCCAATAATTAATTAAAATTGTAAGATTTTAACAAACAGATGACTAACCATAAATCTGAATAATCCTCATTAAATCCATATGCATGCACTAACATCACATTTGATCTCCTTACGCCTGCTGCAGCAATCAAAATCTGAGATAAATGTTTCAACTGCCAAAGTACTTTGTTTCTATAGTAGCATCCTAAGGTTTGCAATTTGTTGTTGTATAGTTGAGCAAAACCTGTTGACTACTTTAAAGACGACAACCCCTCTAAGATCTATTAATTAATTTGGGAGCTAGTTTTGTAGCTCAGTGTCATGCTCCACAGGATTTTTGAGTGCTGTATGATTCACATCATTGTCTTGGAACTGTAATTTTACTAGAAAACATGGTATTATGCTGAGGATGGTCACATTCAGGACAAATGTAGGAAGCAACCAGATTAACTCATAGAGAAGGAGATTACAGGAGAGCAGCTAAGACCTGCACCAGTATGAGCAAAGACACAAAATGAGAATCGAGGGCACTGTTTTGGTGGGTCTGCCTGTACAAGAGTGAGACGGGAGCAGCAGACAGTACACAAAGAAGCACCAGGAAAGGACCAGAAAAAGTGGTATTTTGTTACTTGAAATAAAAGTAAAGACACATCTTGGGCAGAGTCTTGGTTTGAGAACAGTATTTTTGGAATGGGATCCAAGGAAAATGTTTCCTTAATTCCCCTCATGTTCAGGGAAATATCCCTTTGATAATTTACAGTATTGAAATCAAGAAATGCCTGACTCCATCACCAAGGAAAACAGTCTCAAGGATCCTATACGCTGCTAACTGCAATAGTCAAAAACGTAAAACCACTATACTATCAGCAATCTTATCTGTACATTCACTATATTCTTTCACAAAGCTCTATATGCTTGTGGGGGAATGTGGGGGGAGATGTTAAATAACAAAGGATGTTTGTTTTGTGCACCTATCCTGGTCTCTGATGATGACTGGAAATATTGCTATGCACTCCAAATACAACTCCAAACACATCACTGACTCTCTTCAAGACAAGTCCTTCTGGGGGTCCTTTTGCCTAAACATAGAATGTCCTTCTACCTCAGTGTAAATAATAGTATTTATTAATTCATGTTTATCACCTGGGTGCCACATACCTCTTTTACTTGCCTACCAAAATGTTGTTCAAGCTCTGATTGTCTCCTACATCATTACTTTAAACTTCCTCTCTTTGGTTTCCTTGGATTTCGATTTCCCTTATTCAAAATGTCAAAAGCATTTTATATGAAGTCATTTGTCCTTCTGCTGCCCAGGCAAACATCCAGTTCATGCCCTGATATATGCAAATTTAATTCCGTGCAAGTTCCCCGTCCCAAGTCCTTCCTAAATAACTTAGAAATTAACTGAGGTACCTAAATAAAAAGAGCAGTTCACATTATGTTTGCCTGGGCTTAAGAAAATTATTTTAACTGCTGTTCTTGGTGCTGAAGAAAGAACTGAGGTTTGTGGACCAGGAGCTGTATGGCAGCCCTCACAGCAGTAGCAGATGTTGTTTCCACCCCTAGAATCCACTAGTGAGAGCAACAGCTGCAAGTTCTCCCTCTGACTTTTCACCCCAAGTCTTCCTGTTCCCTTAATTTTTTTCCCTCTTCTCATGGTAGGAGAAATCTGGTCTTCTCACCATTGATAGAGCAGAAAAATGATGAGTTTTTGCAGCCCTTGTTAGCCACAAGGTAGCTCTGACAGACTACACTGCTAATCACATTAGGACTAAGAACAACCCTGGCCATGCAAGCAGACTTCAGTCCCTAGTACTGCTTACAAATCACAGTTAGGTTTCCCTGAGACAAAATCGTGGTCTGATTCTATCAGCAAAGCAGGATGTTTCCTATACCCATACCTTACAGCATGGTTGTTTGCCCACACCACTTTTTGACAACTTTACCTGAGCATATTAATACATTCTCTATATAAAGACTGTATTACTGCTCTCCTGTATAGTACCACCTCATAACAGAAACCAAACTGTAATTTCAAAAACATCTTCACTCAAATACTACTTTTTTTGTGCTCCTAATTTACAAACAGGCTTTGTACATCACAAAGATCTATTTAAGAATAAATTACAAGTTACCTTATCTCTAGGCTGCTGATTCCATTCACTGGATTTGTGTATTTTAATGACAGTCTAAGAATAAGAAACAGATTTTTAATGTTAGAGTAGTCAGCTTAATTAGATCATTGAGACATTTCAATCGGAGGAAATACTCTAAATCAATAGACAATTACAAAAGTCATATAGCAAAGGTTCAGTACACAAAAAAATATGACAAAATATTTCTGTAGTTTTTTTTTAACCAAGAGCAGGTGCTTCAAAGTAAAGGAACACAGAGATCATGTTTCATTAATGTAGTTCTAGCTTGGTTACTACCTAGTAACTAGCAATACTCCCCTTCAAGGGAATTTTCCAATGAAATTATGATCTCATTAATGCCAGTTGAGATTTCTGGGATTGTGAGATTGGGCAAAGGGAAATCTGTTTGGACCAAATATAAACCAACAAGGAAGTAAGGAATATAATAGGAAAAATCTTTGTGAAAATAAGTGGCTACATCTGAAAAATTTTTGTGATCTTGAGTCAATCTTTTTCTTCTAAGAATATACATTTTAACTTTTTTTATTGTGAATGCATTAGAAAAAGAAAACTAAATTAGTATTAACTTGACATTGCACTATTTCTGATTAGCTTTCAGAATCACATGTATTATATGTAATTTCTTGTGCTACTCACGTTGTGTTGATGTCTGAGCACTCAGAGGAAGAGATATCCACATTCTGGGTTACAAATGTTGCATTTGTCAAATCTATAAAAACTGAACTGTTGGCTTTGAGGCTGAAATTACTAGCATAAAAAAGGATGCATGTATTATTTCCAGTGGTCACATTCAGAGGAGAATATGATAAACTATCTTCTTCCTCAGTGGCCATTAATTGTCGTCTTAATTCCCCCACCACATCAGTTCTTCTAGTAATCTGGAATAACAGCACATTAACAATTCATCTACTTTGCAAGACATAGTATCAATTGAACACACATCTTCACTGTTTTGTACGATAAGCACCCATACTTTTAAAATCCTCATTCAACCTCAATCTTTATTATTCTCTGTCTATTTAACTGGTAGTATGAGGTGGTGTTAGCCTAGGTTCCTGTGGTCAGGTGTCCACATGTGAAAACAAGCAGCGCTGACATTAGGCAAATGAATGTAAACCCATGTGGTGAATGCTGCCTTAAAATAGTAGTGTGCATTAGTGCTGAAAGAAATTAACTTTTTTTCTGGGATAACATCACAAAAAAACTTAAACTTGGCAGTTCAGTGGCCATCATTTTTGTAACAATAACAGGTTTTGCACTCTTCTTTTAAACAGGCATGAAAGCAGGCTGTTTAACTACAGCAGTGTTGTATTTAGAATCTTCTGGTGGCTTCTGGAAGAAGATCTATGCTCATTTGACTGACATGGTCAACTCCTATAAGAGACTTACCGCATATATACATTTGCTTTTAGGAGGTTTCCAGGACTTTCCTTGAATAGGTAATGCCTTTTTACAATGCCCAAGGCATCCTTGGTAAAACAGCCCCGCTGATACCAACAGTAAAAGCTAGCTGACCTTATCAGACAATAACTTAATCCTGTTGTTCCTATCTTACTCTTCACTTCTTACTCTGTTCCTATCTGGGCTATTCCATCTATTTTTAAGACCCATGTCAGCTTTACAACTTTGTACTATACAAGTGGCCTCTGCCCTTGGATTACTTTGGGGTACAAGAAATGAGAGGCATCACAGGGGTTACCAGAACTATAATTACGTGGAGCTATTGCCTGTAACCACTTTTAACAGGTTTAAAGACAGGCAAGGACCATTTTCCAGTCTGGAACAGAGACTATAATATTGCTTTATAACCTGCCTGTGGAGAGGAGCCCCAGAAGATTTTTGTCACCTTAACCGCTGCTCTCTAAACGCTACGGGCCATCTGTTATTTACAATGCATCTTTGCAGAGATCTCATTCTACGAACAAAGCAGAATGAGCTGAGTTAAAAACCTTTGACTAAACACTCAAATAAAGATTGCAATCTTCCTCTCCCATACATGCATACTTTATGAATTTCTTTTTAATTCAGAGTAGTGCCTTTTCAAATACATCAGAACATGCATTATTTTAAATGAATACCATTTTCTGTAAAAGAAGAGTGTACAACAAAAGAAAATATTCAACTTTTGATATAAAACTTTTAATCTTCCCTTAGGCTCTCCTGAAATGTAATCATTTTATTTCAAACTGAGAGGAAGTGCTGAAGGCTAAATTATATCTTGTCTAACAACTGACTTGGCTATGTGGGCCCCGCATATCATCTGAAGAGGGCTTTAAAAACCACCTGCTAATAGCTAAAAACAAGGCTACATTGGAAACTGTGATTTGGCTAACTTGGGGGATTAGGTTTAAGTATCTTAAAATAAAAAGAAAGCTATTAGAATATAATCATGAGACTCCAGCTTTAGTTCTATTGCTCTGCTGCCTGTACTTTGTCATGGGGATCTCACATAAAAATTCCCTTTCATCTCTGAAAATCATATGAACCAAAAGATTATTTTGCCTGAGAAGAAGGGATGTCAGGGACAACGAAATTCCCCAGTTTCCCATGGTTAAGTCTGTTTTAACAAATTTGTCCTTGCTGAAGAAGGGAGACCAAACAGCTTGCCAAACATCTTTGTAAAAGTCATGCTTGTGGCTGAAAATACAGGTAGTCATGGACTGTGCAGTCCAGCGAGTCCTTACATGCACAACTCTAAGCAGGCAGGATGACTACACCAAACAGCAGCTTGAAAGTATTAGCTCTCAGCCTGTATATTCATCCCTTCACCCTGAGGGTGTATTTCTCTGTTACCTGTGGGTAAGGTTGTTTATCATTCGAAATCAGAAAGCATTACCTCACAGAAATTCACAGAATCATAGAAGAGTTTGCGTTGGAAGGGACCTTAAAAGATCATCTAGTTCCAACCCCCCTGCCATGGGCAGGGACACCTTGCACTAGACCAGGTTGCTCAAAGCCACATCCAGCCTGGCCTTGAAGACATCCAGGGATGGGGCATCCACACCTTCTCTGGACAACCTGTTCCAGTGCCTCACCAGCCTCTCCATGAAGAATTTTTTCTTAATATCCAATCTAAATCTCCCTTCTTTCAATTTAAAACTATCACCCCTTGTCCTGTCACTACAAGACCCCCCCCAGCTTCCTTGTAGGCCCCCTTCAGGTACTGGAAGGCTGCAATAAGATCTCCCCGGAGTCTTCTCTTCTCCAGGCTGAACAAGCCCAACTCTCTCAGCCTGTCCCCATAGCAGAGGTGCTCCAGCCCTCTGATCATCTTCATGGCCTCCTCTGGACTCATTCCCACTGGAAGAGAAAACTTAGTCTTGAGGCTGGAGGGGAGATCTCTGAAACACCCCAACCTGGGACTCACTGGAGACCTGAAGACGGCAATCACTCCTTCCAGCTGGCCTGCAGTGGGAAGCCAAGAGCCTCTCTTTCATACACATTTTCTTATTCTTTTGTTGCTGCACAAACATGAGCTTACAGAATTAAAATAATTCTCCCCATGCCATATATTTCATGGTAAACTATAAATGACAAGATACTTCCTTGAGAAATGGATTATATTTACATTGAATTCTTGTAAATCAAATTAGATTGTTTAGAGACAATCCATAGTGGCAGCGTTGCCAATCATTAAATCATATTTAATTCTTTTGTTCAGTGTCCCCTTTGCCTTTACCTAATCTGAACCATAGGGTGTATGAGTCACTGTCTCGTTCCTCTGGATTTATCAATGTCATTTTTGATCTCAGATATGCAGTGAACAATCAGAAGACCTGATTAAACAAGATAGAGAACAGAAAGGGTGCAATTTACATTGTTCTAGAACGCTGTAATTACCAGCTGAAACTGCAATAGAAGTAGCCTGGACAAAATTCTTCCCTTTGATCTGTTCTGAAAGCTTCCTAATTCGGAATCATCTCTCTTGGAAAGGATCTGATCTGGCAACATTCTGATGCACCAACATACTGGTCTTTTTTCAAAGCAAACAGACCTTAGATCCAAAATTATTCATTTGTTTTGTTGTTGTTGTTGCTGGCTTTTTGTTGGCTGTTCCAAAATAGAATTACTGGAGACAAGAAAAAAGATTTGGGGCCATTTTATAGATTCGAAATTACAAACAAATATAAATCGAATGGTCACAAAAACATAGGAGAATAATATGAAATATTGGGAAAATAAAATTTGCATTGGCTGAAATTATGAATGGCAATAAACCATAAAAATATGCTACATTTCACACCAGTTTCAAGGTGGGATTTTTGAATATCAGTTCAACAGACGGCTATGCCTTCTCTTTCAGTCTTGTACTTCTTGACTTTTTTATTGCTATGTTTAAGTGTGCACGTCCGTAGGAACAGGAACACTATTCTGGTGATGCCTGTTGCTAGTTTTCATTTCTGACAGTATGGATCTATGACCACATACTCTCTGTGAAGTTGCTGCTCTTATTGTAGCAGCTAGAGGAAGGGGAAGGTCTTTCTGTACCTTCAGGAGGGAGGTGAGGAGGAGAAAGAAGAAGGGTATGCTCACTTTCTCTTTTTAGGTTGTATCTTAGCCTAGTCTCTGCCTCCATACCAGTACTGTGGACTACAGTGTGTTCTCTGTATACACCCTGTGTAGATGGAAAATGGTAATTTGTCCAGATTTAGTCATAACACAATTAAACCTGTTGTTGGCATCACAAAACTACATAAAAAAATTTACCTTCTAGTAAAAAAAAGTGCAGTATAAGAACCAGATTTTGCTTTTTAGTATTAAACTTCACATATGCAGAAAAGAGCCTGAAAATATTCAGGGAATTCATGTCAAAAACAAAAGCACAAAATACATTGTGAAAGGGTAGGTCACAAAATCCTTTGAGTCACTTAAGAATTTGAAGGCCTGAATTTTGAGGTGTAACGTTTGAGGAGGGGTGGGCAGGCACTCCTACTGCTACCGTAGCACCTTAAAGACAAATACCTGCTATCTGAATTAGCTTCTGGTTTTGGTACCTTGAACTGCATGTACCTATAATGTACCGTCAGTAATTCTTTTAACAGGATATCAAGTTGACTGTACACTTACATTTTCTCAGCTTGCTTTAACAGGGATCTTTAAATGATACCTTTTTTTGCAAGACATCATTTGAAAAATGATGCTGTGTGCTGAGTGCAGGGATGCTGCTCCCCACAGAATTACAGACCATGCTGCTTGCTGGCATTTGGCTGTGGGACATCAGAAACCACTCAGAATTCACATCCCAACCAAGCATCAGCACATTTCAAGTCCTTTTTCTGAAATTACCATTTAGTTTCCTTCCCACACAAACAGGTCCATTTTCTTTCATGCTTTCTGCTGATGTAGCGTCATGGCCTCACTACAGACAGCATCACCACCATCACTACTACCACCACCCCAGCTAATGCATCAGTTTTTCTGAAATACATTGTACCATAAATCTGTGAGGCATGCAATGGCTGTTTGTATCTCACTGCTAAAGGTCAAAAATTTAAAAGGCAAGCATTAGAATTTGGTATCATCACAAAGAAGCTCTTTGCAGTGTCAAGTTTATAAAATCACCTGTAGAGCAAACAGAAAGAATCAATTTGATGACAATTATTTCATTCACCCTTTGGTGCAAGGCTGTAATAACAGTGTTTTGACCTATCAAAATCTAGAACACTAAGCAAAGAGTTACTCTCTTCAAGAGATATTTTATTTCTATCTTTGAGAGTTTGAACTCTTTATGTTTTTATGATTTCTAATGTTTTATGGGTTTTGGGTTTTTCTTAAGATAGCCTCTAGGCTATCTTAAAATATAGTTTCAATTTTGGCCCTAGATTTGGTGAATCTTATATTCCATACACCTCTCAGACAGTCTCCTTTTGTTTTACGG